GCTCACCTGGGATTTTCAAACTCCATCGGGAAGAAGTTACGACGTTACACTGATACCGCGCGCACGATCACTCACCACGTGCAAAAAAGTTAAAATGATTGATTAAATACTCGATATCTTTTTACTGGCAGAAAGAATCTGGAAGAGGAACGACCGACCGTTTCCACTGCACCTGGTAAACCCTCTCAGGCACTGACGTGATGTGTTTTGCAATGATATTAGAAAGAAAAAACAAAGATTTTGCTAACTTCGTGTAAACTTCGTAGGAGAGGATGCGTCAAGTGCAGCCGCGGCCGATCAACGAAGTGTGCCCACGCGAGCTAACGTGAGATTTACGCGTGCTTTTCTCCTCTTCTCAGTCAGGTCCGAACCCTAAAAAAATTTAGGGGCGGGCCCAGAGCACGAAGTGCAGTGGCGGGGTGGGCCCGTCCATAGGAGGTGATCATCTGAAGCGTGGATGCATCATTGGAGCCAACATTGGTGCACCAGGGAAACCCATTGGAGCTGCGAATGCCGGATGCATTGCTCCTGGTGGCAAAGCTCCTATCATCCCTGTAAATGATAATACATCGTGAGTTTCATACATCCTTGATAATTCTGTCTTTCTCTCTCCAATCCCTTTCTTTACATATCTTATATATCACAGGTTCTCTCTCAACGATCTGCAAATCTTATGGTACTTACGTTGCGAGAGTACTCGCCAAACATAAATAAAAAATGTGTGTGTGTGTTTGTATATGTGTGTGTTTCAAATGCACGCATTACTCTTCCCTCTCTTTGTATTTTGTAATTTTCTTTCTAGAGAAATATAGCGTCAATCGATGGAGAAATATACCTTACAAGATAATTGTGGAATTTTGAAAGATACTTTCAAATTTAATTATCTAATTTCATTTCTTTCGATGCATTTTTTCTAAAGTACAGGAAGTTGTCTGACAGCCGATCGATGGCATTTCCCCTCGCACAACATTCTTGATTCTTTTCTTAATAAATCAAATATATTTACTTATTTAATTTTACTCTAGCTAATATTTATTATTTACCGAAAATAAATTCAAATAATAGATATTTAAATACTTGTCAGAAAGAAATTGTTAAATAAATTTCTGAAATAGAACGCTAGCCAAAAAAGGAAAAAAAGAAATACTTATATCAGTATTGAAGAAACCGAATATTATCCTTGAATCGATATACTTTGCAACACACGCCTGTGCAAAATAATAAAATAGTATAATCTCGAGTGTTCTAGGACTACATCATACACCCAAAAGGGTTTATTATTGACAGCCCACCTACGTCTATCTAACATTTTATTAATGTGAATGACCAAACTATATGAGGAACTGAGCTTAACATGCAATGTGCCGCATATGCAATACAAGTCACAACAAACTCAAAAAAGTGATATTACGCGAAACCTCACACCATACATGAACAAGAAATCTTACTTGAAGAAATGATTACATCTTTCATAATTTGAAGGAATCGCTCGGCTGCCAGCTGATCTTCCAAGATATTACTTCAAAACAGTACTCACTCGACAAAAATAGAACAACAAAACAAGGAACACTTTTAAAGAACTTCAAAGAATTTGAACACTGTAAAAGCACAATATTTTACTTTATTAAACTTTTTGTATCATTACTTTACTAAGTCTTTTTGTATTATGCAAATGCAAATTTCTTCTTTTGAGAAATTTTTTTTTCATCCTTGAAATTTCCTTGTAATGTTAATGTACGATATAATTTCGAAAAAAACTCAAATTCCCTCATTTGTTAATGTTAAATTAGATACATCTCTATGTTCGATATACAAGAAACAGCTGCAATTAAGTGTATATACGAGTCATACTTTTGTATATATTTGGTAACGTGAAATTATTTACTTACTGTGAATTGACTTCAAATATCTAAAATCAGTTTGTGACACAAAAGCTAGGCTATGGTGTGAGGGAGATACATTACGTTCGTTCTTGTTGCAAGTTTTCTATCATGATACACGTGATAATAACAAAAACAGTAGTGACAACAAATAACCCCTTCCCTCTTGTTTTTAATTTAAACAAATTTTTTTAAAATACGTCTTCGTATTTTACAAACTTTTCTGAAGGAACAACAGATCTAAAGAACAAATTCTTTGATATCAATGATACTATAAATAATGCAGAACCATCTACTAGTTTATTTTACTTTCATCGAATTTGAAACTGGAAAATTTGAAACGCCTGAAGAAATATAAAGAAGGAAGGGATAATTATAATCGAAATTATATGTCCGATTTTTGTTTCTTCTTGCTTTTTCTCTTTTTCTTTCTTTCTTTGTCTTTTTTTGTTTTTTCTTTACTCAGAATAACAACTTCGAACGACTGCCAGTACCGTGCTCAAAAAGCAATTTCTTCACTACTATATCACAACACCAGGATTTCAAGCTATATAAGTAATATGAAGAGACAGAATGATAACACGGTTGGCGAGATAATGGCAAGTGAGTCGTAAGAAGAATATGGTTGGTGAATAAAAAAGCTAATAAAACAAGAAAAAAATCATATTATGCGATGAACCAGCCGAGCGGCCGAAAACCGAATCAACTTCAAGGCAGAGTTTTTATCAATCGAGAAAAAAACATTATCTATGAATATGTATGTATAAAACGCATATTATACATACGTATTATATATATATATATGTATACATATGTATATGTATATGTATACATATGTATATATATATATATATATATGTACCGCGATTATAAAAATATAAATCTAGCGTAATCGTGCTTCCGATACCGAATACTCTAGTTTCAAGAAGAGGCATTTCACGTCCAAAGAGTCGTGTATCCAAAATCAAAGTGTGGCTGTCCGGCGTTGAAGGAATCAGAACAGATGCAATATCGTTGGCCGCTCGACCCACCTGCCCAGTGACAATAATATAAATATACAGAAATATATATAGGTATATTAATGTGACAATGATGACAATAATAATAATATTAATTAATAAGAATAATAATAAATATAACGATGTGTATATATATATATATATGTATGTATGTATACACATATATATAGATATATATATAGATATATAGATATGTATATACATATATATATATATATATAAATAGATAGATAGATATAGATATGCCATTTCACCGCATGCTAATTGCTAAGGACCAACCTTGTTGCGCTTGTATAAAACACGGTTTTAGTAACCAGACTGGGTTCGTTCAACACTCACCAAGGAGTGACTGGGCGCCCTGCAAACGCACCGTTAAACATAAACGTACAAGACACGCTGTTGATTCTGGCATACGGATGAATCTTGAACATGCTAATATCGGTCATATTTCATTTCTCCCCCTTTTTTCTTTAATGTTTTCTTGTGTTTAAAATATTCCTCGTGTACCTCGTCAAAATTGGTCCCCCCAAAGACTAATTTTTGTCTTCTGTCACTCTCATTCATCCATAACACATTACTAGCCATCGGGCAAGTCTAATTTATTGTAGGGAGCAAAGGGTATGGGCTGCATAGTGATAGATGAAGTGCAAAGGTATATTATACTGCATGTCAGATGAAAAACATTTTTGAAATGATCATCTATATTTCCATTAGATCGATCGCGTATAAACCTTAAGCTTTTGGATAAACCTACTGTCCAAAATCTCTTTAATAAAAAGATTTCTTATATTAGAATCAACATAATCATTTTATAGTACAAACAAGAAAGTTACTTATGATGGCTAATAGCTGTTTAATAAAATGTACTGCATATTTAAGATTAGGAAAATATACTATATACATATTCCATAAGAATATTATCTATTCTTAATTATTAACTCTATTATTAACTCTATTGTTACACATATTTAGATGTCAATATATTTTACTTTAAATCAAATACTTTAAATATCAATTAAAATATGATTTTTGAAATTTGTTTCATCTTTAAACTAAATATCGAATATAAGATTACAAAAACCTTAATTTATGTTATGATAATATTAAATTTTTATAATGATAAAAAGAAATAATTTTTTATCCAAGGAAGCACGATAAAATTACATTGGACAATCACTCAATACATCTTCGATAGCTCTAAATATGATACTGGAAAGGATACATAAAAACAATTTAATTTAAATGTAATAATATTTACGTAGATCAATGAATATTGATGAGGTGCTCTCGTTGAAATAGAGATGATTATTTAAAATTATAGAGACTTACCTGGTGGCAGGCCCATGGGGGGCGGTCGCATCATGTTACCTCCATGAATCAGAGCAGGTGCGGCTAGGGTCATAGTTGGCCGCATAAGCGGAGCCATCAATGCAACAGAACTAACAGGCATTGCTGCAGATGCAGGAACCATTACTGCTTGTGGAGGTCGCTGAAATCTTTGTTGTTGTTGTTGTTGAAGTGCATTTAATGCCGCTTGTTGACGTTGTTGTTGATCCTGAAATGCAGCAGCTGCATTAGCAGCAGCAGCTTGTTGTTGCTGCTGTTGCTGTTGTTGTTGTTGCTGCTGCTGCTGCAATACAGCAGCTTGCTGACTAGCATCAGCGGTTTGTACAGTTCGAGTTTCTTGAGTCTGTCGCCGCTGATATTTTGGAAGTCGTGCTCTAATTTCCTCCTATGGCATATAATTTTTTGTTTTTACTTTCTATATCTATTACTAACATATATATAAAAAATAGTCAACGTACCAGGCTAAGATCTTCTGGAGGATGAATAATTTTAATAGCAGCACTAGTAGTGGCTATAAGATTTACTTTCTGATCGCTTCCAATATTATTATTAGTGGTGGTATTACTATCTGCATTACTATATGCAGGGAATGTTGGTTTAACAGGTCCTATAGATCCACCAGCCACTGATGTAATTGGTTTAAAATCTGTACCCAAAGGAGAAGTCACAGCTGTAGACGTAGCTGTTGAAACAGCTGCAGCACTTGGAAATAATGGTCGTGCTGGTGGTATGGATGCACCTGATACTGGTTGTTGTATACCTGGAGGCATACCTGGCATTCCAGGCATCATACTATAAAAAAAAGAGAAACATTATTGCTTTATTCTACTATTCCTATATTTCTTTTATTAGATAATAAATATATGTATATATAAATTTAAAAACTGTAGATTGTATTTACCTAACTTGCATTAAATTAATATCAGATATTTAACTCTTCTTTTGCGTTGTCTGGTTTTAAAAGAATAAGTTATACATACCCAGGACCCATGAAAGGTGGACCTACAGGACCCATAGGTCCCATCATATGATGCATGGGTGGTGGGAACGATCCCATTGGTGGCATACCAGGATGAGCTGCCATACCTGGCATTACACCTGGCATCATGTTGGAACCTGTAGGCATTGCTCCTGGTGCAGAACCTAATAAACCTTCTGGTTTTGCTTTCTTTCGAACTGGTTCATCTTCACCAGAACTTGGTGAGCCAGGTCTACCTCCATTTCTTTGTCTTTCATGCTCCTTTGCATCATTTGGTGGTATGCCTTCCATACCATAAATTTCTATTTCAATATTGCTTCGATTTGGCAAAGAATTAGGTACTTTATCTATTGCTTCTTTATGTACCTAAGAAATTAAGATAAGATCATAAGCTTTTGGTATCAATATATTTTCAAATTTATATATTATTCAATAAAAATTTAATATTACCTGCATACAATGTATACTAAGTCCTGGTCCCGTGTAAAGTTTCTTATGACAGATATGACATTTGAAATGTTTTGCTTTTTGATGCTGTATAAGAATTTTTTCATCTTCAAATTCTCTGTTACAATACCTTAATAAATCAGTTAAGGTCATACACAAATAAAAAAGTATGAGTAATAAACATAATTATATACAAAATATATATCTATTGTATATATATATTTCATATCCTTGATCATTTCTAACCTATGTATAAAATGAATTCGAATCTAATAATTTATAATAATAGAGAAAATAATATTTTTTAATAAATTTTTAATTCATTAATGATTTAATTTATAATCATATCAGTTTATAATAGACATAACCAAATTCATATTTATTGTATAATAAATATGAATTATTTATGTGAAGCTATAAAACTTTAATTTCATTTAATAACTTAATAACATTTTAAAAGACTAATTCTTTTCAAATAAAATATAATGCAAAATTATGTTGTAACAAACAAAATTAACTCTGCTAATTTAGTAATTTAAAAAAATGTATACATACATACATATTCCACATATAACATATTCTGAAATTATATCAAACATAACACTTGCCAAAAAATATGCAAAATATATGTTTCTGCATCTAGATTAGGTTAAAATCTTTTATTATTCAAACTTCTTTAAAAAAACAGATATTTGAATAGTACTCTGCGATAAGAATTTGAATATTTTTATACTTTCTTCTGCATTGCTAAATAATATAATGACTCATCTGAAATACGTTATCAAGACATTTGTTGAATCTTTTTCAAACAAATCCTTTACTAATAAAATTAACAATTTATCATGTTTCGTACATGAACATCTTTGCAACTATGAAAGAAATAGTCGAATATAGTTATTAACGAAATATCGATTTCTCACGTATTCAGCTACTTTAACTCGTCACAGGCTTTTACTTAGCGAACTGAAAATATTTTGCGACAAAGTAGAAACTTTCGAATTACAAATTAAAATATAACAGAATATAATACGAATATTAGTAAAACATTAAATTAGCTATAATCATACGATTATAAGAACATTACAATTGTATAATTTCGATTTACGATCTAAAAATACAGTTACGTAAAGTACCCTCTAGTAAAGGATATTTTGGAAAAGGATACCAACACCAGGGCCTTGACTGCTTCTTCTTTTTGCGTCCCATATTTTCTTATCAACTTTTACCAAGTGAAAATTAGTAAAAATACGCCACTAAACGTTTTATGCCCACGTAATAAGAATTGAATTCGTAAAGTAACTGCACCGAACACACACGTAAAAATCGACGATGTAAAATGGCGACTGCATCTTTTCCGTATTTGACGGACGGAACTATAACCAATAGTATTACTTAAAAATTACTAGCTTATTCAACTAAATTTTCCCTAATAAATTCTAACTTGAATAAGGAGCATTAAGCTCTAAGTTTAAAGTCTAAAGTATTCATATTTTATCTAAATAATTATTAACAAATAAAATTGCACTTAAGTTTGCACTTAAAAGTAAATTTTTGTCATAACTTAGAATATTGGTAGATTGCTTATTTAAAAATTTTAAAAATTTTCAAGTATATATAAATTGTTAAAATAATTATTTTATATAGAGAAATAGAAATTTATATATATTATTTTATGACAATTTAATAATACTTCAATTTCTTTTATGTGAATTTTAATATTTTTATATACTATATAAATATAAATGTTATATATATATACACATATACATAATAACTGTAGATTATATATATATATACACATATATGTATATATATACATATACACACACACATATAATTGTAGACAAATATTTACGAAAATATACAAATTTATGTTTCATACAGTAACATGAAAACATTTTATATAAATAAAACTAAATGTATACATACAGTGTTTTACCTTAAATAAATTTAAAACCATAAGTTCGAAGAAAAATTGTTATATACAAAAGTTGCATGATTTAGAGAAGCATATGTGGTACATATATAGTTATGTGGTACATGTATTTTTTTTATAGATGAGGGCATTTGATTTCGAGGTCATCCCACTTTTTTAGATGTAATGATATATTCTTTTGTCGACAGTCCAAAAAAAGTATTAACCTATGTATGTTGAAATGTATGTTGAAAAATCTCCAAAACTCTTCCATCTATAAAAAAAAAATACATACACTATATAATATAACCCTTTAAACCACATAACTTTTGTATATAATAATTTGTCATTGAACACATAATTTTGAAGCCTATTTAAGGTATCCAAGTAGATGAAACCCCTTATATATATGTATATATATATATATATACACATACATACATATATATACATATATATATATATTTAGAATTATTAATTTATTGTTATGAACTGAAAAATGTCAGCAGAGCAAATTAAATAAATGGAAATACGTACTAATATAGAGATTATTATCTACAATCACATGTTTGCATCAAAATTAAAAATAAAATCTGTATGATAATCATATAGTGACAATCATTTTAACATAATTTTAATATTTGAAAAGTATAAACATAGAAATATTTTATAAACAATAAAAAGACCTCCATTAGTTGCAAATCCTTTGTTTCAATGGAAGATCACTTTCTGAATCACTGGATTCATTCGTAGCACCAGGTTCATCATCTGAAGAAGAATAATCTTTTTGTTTCACTTCTGCTTTCTGTGTCCTTTTAAGCTATGAAATAATAAATTTTATTAATTATATTAGTTAATTTGACTGATATATAAAAAAAAAAACAGATTTAATTGACCAATTAACCTTTGGCCAATTTTTAGCAGGCCTTTTTGGAGTATTACTTTTTGGAACATATTTGTCAGCAACTCCCTCAACACGCCTTATATCAAAATCTTGATCTACTTTAGTTACAATTTGCAACCTTTGTTCTTCTGATGTTACATATAAATCATCTGGTTGATGATAACTGTTATGCACTTCATATGCTCTTTTACTGCAAAATAAAGCAGCACACACTGTACATTTTATTAAATCTTCTGGAACAGCTTCTCTTTCTTCCTATTAATTATAAAGGCAAAATGTATAAGTATAGTACACCTGTAATAAAATTTGTTTATTTAATATTTACTTATATTTCTTTACTTGAGTATGAGCTCTTTCCAAATGCCGTTGCAAATTAAATTTTATAATATATTCAGCACCACATAAATGACAGTAATATACACTAAGAGCATCATTCATTGAATTTACTTTAATTTTATTGCTAGGAGGTGGTGTTGCTATTGGTTGAAATAAATGTACCATCCTATAAATTAAATTATTATATACAATTTAAAATCATTTAAAAATTTAGTACTACTGAAAAAATTGACAACCTTTTATGTATAGAACGATAATGATAATCTAAAGCTTTTTCATTATAAAACAATACATCACAGTCTTCGCATTTCTTATGCTGTTCTTTTCTCTCACTTTCAGATGAATCATGAGATGCTTGATGATTATCCCTGTGTGTCTAATAAAAAATAAGTAGTTCGTAAAATTGAAGAAAAAACATATACTATGTGGAAATGAAAACATACTTTTAGAGGAAATTGCATCCCACAATAATGACAATAAAACTTTGTTGGCGAATTAGGATGAACTTTAAATCTATGTTGTATTGTTGCACTAATTGAATTAAATTCTTGCCCACACACATCACATTGAGTATCATCATTTTTGCTTGTTTTCACAGGTCTACCACGAGTATCTATTTCTTTGTTGGCATGTTTCCTATATACACAGTATTTAACTCTTTACATGTAATTAAATTTTCAATTTCTAAAACATTGTTTCAATAACAAATTTAATAAAATTTGTTTTAATTTTCTTTTCTCCTTTTTCTGAAAATAAGTTGTTAGGAAATCTATGAACAAAACAAAATTTGATATATTGTATCAAAATTAAATATTAAAATTTAAGAAAAGATCTTTCTTTCCCATTTCTATATGTATAAATTGATCTCATAATAACTCACCATTAAATAAAAATTTTACTCTTATAAACATTTTAATTATTAATAATAAAATCTAAGTAGGTAACAAATATACATATAAGTAGGTAACAATATATACATATAATATATGTATTATTATATATTGTTAATATTTAAATATTAACAATATATAATATATTGTTAATATTTAAAACATTTAATAAATCATTTAATTTTAAATAACATTATCTCTAACTACTTTTTAACTTTTTTACTATTACTAATTTTTTAAAATGTATTTTAATTTTTTAATATTTTTTTATGATATGTGTAACGAAATATATGAAATGTGAAATACAAAGAAATAAATGTATGGTAAAGTAATATGTAAAATACATTTAACATGACATAATAAAATATAGAACGTAGTAATATTTCATAAATTTTAAGTGAAATACTTTCTTAGTTGAAAATGTATAATTATTATGTATTCAAATCTATAAAAACGAAAATGCAAAATTTATAATTGGATAAATTATTTTAAAAAACTATAATTTTAAATATTATAATAAATTTTTTCTACGTCTAAATATTATTTTAATCTCTAAATGATGAAAAAATTTGGGACAGATTTTAACTATAATTTTATAGATAATATTTTATTGAATTATTTCATGGCTTTATGCTTAAATATCTTATAAATAATTAATCAAACATGTCTTTAATATAAAATATATTGTTGATTCATTTTTCTTATATTATCAGTTATTGTATAACATACTAAAAAAGTATACTATTGTATAATATACTACATTAAATTTTAAATAAACAATATAACATTTATTTAAATAATTTTCTAATATTTACTATTCAATTGAAATGATTTTTAAATGATTTATAAATAATCTAATTGAATCCATCACAATTGTTTACATTTATATTTTATAATCATGTTATTTTTATATTCTATAACTATTACTGTTACTTATTGTTATTGTTATTAGAAAGATCTCTATTTCGAAAGCAGAAAAAAATTGCAAGCAATTGGGAAAATAGCGCAAACAATACTCTACCGGTAATGTAGCTAAATATTATCATTAATGTGTCAACTGTTTGAAAATACTTTTATTCGTTGTAGGATTTTTTTTGGAATGTGCATTGGAATAGGATGAAAAAAATAGGTTGTATATAAAAATATCCTTGTTTTATAAGATTGCTTGCTTGGTTATGAATATATCGAAAGAAATAGTTTCTTTTAATACCTAAAATGCGCTTGCAAAGCTTCCTTGGATTCTAATTTCGAGTCACACAAAACGCAATTGTATTGGTCTTTAGCACTCATTTAGGCGCGAATTCTTATTTCAAAAAAACATTAGAAATTTATCGGACGCCTTTGTGCCAGGTAGTATAACATAAATTCTTCACGCTTTAATATTTGATCGTAATATTTATACTCAATCGATCACGATCCGTAACAATGTAATTCTCGTTGCTTTTTATCTAAAACATTGTAGTTTCTCAATATATACGGCATTCGTTCGTATTTGAATGTAAAAAATTACATAGAACTCACGTCCGCGTAGAAAAATCAATTTTCGGCCATTTTATTGGATTCAAAGTCGCGCCACCTATCGCATACTAATCCAAAAAATACAAAACAATCAACCTTCTTGACAAAATAATAGTATGTATAATAATGCATTAATATAAAAATATATAATTATAAACATCACGAAACTTGTTATAAATACAATAATTTTACACAATTCAGCATGTAAAATATGTGTATTTTTCTTGTTTTAGAATACATACAAATCATATTCTTACTTCATATATTTATCTCTAACAGAGATTTATATTTATATATCTAGGTAATTTTTTTCTAATATAATATTATAAAAAACAAATGTTCATATATAAATATTTATTACTTTTCCAACCATTAAATGGAAGGAAAATAATATAACGAATATAAGAAATTATAATCGACTTTAGACAATTTATATTTTAACGCTATTTTTATATAGTTTGATAGTTTTAAAAATAAAGTGATATTAAATGAACACAGCGCGGAATCCACTAATGAATTACACTACTGAATATTAATTGTAAAATGAATATTAAATAAAAATTATTACTTCATTTCCTGATACAATATAGGTGATGATTGTCCATCTGTTACACCTTGAGCTGCTAATTCAGCTAATGTTCTTTCAAGATAACTTTTATCAGGATATCCATGACCAGTTGTTGATGGACCCAATTCAGTCTTATGATGAATTTCGTTCCATGTTACTACATCTTCTCTTCCAGTAGTTACTGATCGCCCAATCGTAAATATTAATTTTCGTTCAAATGCAATCTGTAATAATCTTAAAACTCTACGGCCTAAATTATTATCTGGAAGATAACATATACGTGGAAAGCCTACGGCATAATAAGCTTGACCAGGATTCGGATGTTCGTTTCCTTGAATTCCTGATGGAATGCTGAAATTTTATGTAGCGAAATAAGTGTTTCTCAAATACGTAAGTTATATGAAAATTAATGGATGAAATTCCCAATCTACTTACTCGTAAGTTATCTGAATTGTATTTGTATTTGGAAAACCAGGCAATGCTCGAGGTATTCTTGTCCAGTTCATAGTTCCAGAAGGTTGATTTCCTCTTTTTTCACCATAAATTAAACGACAAACAGGACACTGTATATACATAGGAGGCTGCTGACAACTGAGCATTGCATTCAAACATGGTAAATGTAATCTATGTTTACAACGAGTCAACTCTACTGTTAGTGGTTCTGGCATACCGAGACATACGGGACAAGAATCACAATTATCACTTTCTACTACTTTTACATATTGGGAAATAACATCAGATTCAGTATCTACACCTAAACAAATAGTAGGTTCATTTGTAATATATTACATAGAACTGTGACAGTAATTTAAAGAAAGTATAACAAATTACCCAAAATAGTATCTTTGAAAACATCATCACTTCCTACACTACTATCCAATAAATCTATCGGATTTTCATGACTCAAATATGTAGAAACTGTATCAACACTTGGTCTTCGACCACTTTTCGTACTGCTGGAATCTACATCCAATGCACTATCCCAAGTTTTTCTTTTTTGTCCAGATTCGATATTTGTAATTGAATTATTATTTTCTACTCCGTGTTTATTGCTAAATATATTAAAATTGCTCAAAATAACACGAGCTATATTTGATGGACCAGTATCTCCATTTTTGCTCTAAAATATCAGCAAATTGATAATATAATTTTACGTATGTAAGTAAGATTGATAATATAATATTATAATGTCTAGAATATTAATTATAATTACTAATTAATTATAATTACTTTTTCTACCTTTTTATTATTCTTTTTTGTATTTCCAGTAGACTTTTTATGTGTGATTTTCGTAGTTATGTTTTTGACAGTTGCAGATGTTGCTTTTATCTCGGAAATAACCTGTAATTCTTCTAAAGCAACTTTGACTAAGGGATAAGGCGCTTGTTGAATACGTCGTATCGGTCTTACATATCCAGTACAACAACGTACTTGAGTTAAATTACAAAAGTTTATGATATATGGAAAACCTAAATATGTTTTAGAAACATCGATAGTTTTATCACCCTAAAATAAAAAATTAAATTAAGAATACCTTACAATTACAATTGATTTATGACTGATATTTTGATTAATATTTTTATTTACTCTTGCCCATGCTTCTTCTATGAAACATTGCACTTCCATATCATATGTATGCCAATCATCTGTATCACCAGCCCATTCCCACTTAGCTCCTTTCCCAGCTGGCGAACTTGGAAGGTAAAATTTTCTTCTAACATTGTGCACTTCATCTCCATCTTCGCTACATTGTGTTTTTGTTTTCAAATTTATATAATACCTATTTAAAGTAAATGCATATTTTCATTGTATATAAATAAAGATAGAACTTTATTATATATACGTAATAAATATTTGATATTTAGAATAATTGATATTTAAGATATTAACTTTTTTAATTTTAAATTTATTATATAAAATTAAGTACAAAATGTTTTTAACTTAATCCTTCAAGTTTTAATAATAATCATATTAACAAATAGAATGTTAAATTATTTGTTTAACTATTATTAAAAAATATCTTGAAATACAAGACTAAATGAAATTTCTTTTATATTTCATATTTTTTGTTTCTCGTTATCTTTTTCTAAAACAATCTTTGACTTATTTACATTTATGAACACAAAAGTTTCCAAACACACATAGTTATATAGATAAAATAATATATATGTAAATATATAAGTTTAAACCTGTCCAAATTCGGATCTGCATCATTCAGAAAAACGCGAGTTAATTTTTTACAATGTGCTCTCTCAAGATGTTGAGACACCGCAGGACTATAAGGTCTCCATCGCCCATGACGATTTTCCCACTCCCAAACAACAACAGCATGACCGTGTTCTTGTGTTTGGGCGTTCATCTTCTTACTTAAGAATTTCACATGCACACGCAATACAAACTTGCGTAGCAAAAACGTGAGAACATTTTCAAGTCTGTTGCATCCAATCTAATTTACTTTACTGTATAATATACACATGATAACGCATACATACAAACAAATGCATGTGTCTCACTCCATTCGTATCGAAATAAATTTTAATATCACATAATATTTTATTTTCACTTAATTTAAATTATAATATTAGAATATTATACAACAGAATAAATCAAAAGAAAAAAAGATATCAAATTAGCGGTATTCAACACTATTTCATTTGCAGCAACGCAACACGACAAATTCACCTGAAGTATACAGAATTTTAAACATCGAGTAATCGCAATATCGATGATCCAATAATCGTGTTTAAAAATTCTTGTTACCTAAATTTATACACTTAAATGTTATAAGAATCGATTCAAAATATCTTGAATCGTGTATTTCGCTATCTTTGTGATGTTATCTTTAATTGAAATTATCAAATAATTTAATACAAATTTCAAAACATGTGATATAATTATTTGTTTTCCATTGTATTATTTACTGTTCTGCTCATTTTTAATAATATTTTATGATAATATCTTAATATCTTGTATCAAATTCAGTTATATTCTTTTTAACAATATTTATGTAATCTCTATCTATATCTATATTCATGATGCCAAACGAGTATTTGGTCAAAGCATCGTGTGTATACAATTATATCGTTTATGATTTATAAAATTCTGATTTTTTATTTAAAAAGACATTGATTTTAAATTAATACGTTCAAAAATAATACTTGAACCTGTATATAATAAATGAATGATATTTTTTTGTAATTGTTATTATTGCGTAAAATTGTTCAAAATATGATTAAATTATTTCCGTAAACTAAAATTACATAAATTATGAAAATATTGCAAAATTAATTAGTTGTATTACGAAAGGCCAATTACTTGAGAGAAATATGCATATTTATTAATGGATACGTACGTAGATATGTTTATTTCTTGAATTAACGTGTAGGTTAGCTCTTGCAGTTTTTCAAGAAATTTTCCATTTCAACAAACATTCCATGAAAATGGATGTAGAAAAAGTTGCTGTATTTGCCAGTGTAGGATTTGCAATAGCCATTGCAGCATTTGTTATATGGGGTCCATCTCCTAAACCTAGGAAAAAAGGTACGTTAAATGTATTCAATTTCGAATAATTTATCTGGACAAAAATATTTTATATTGCGTGTTTTCTTTTTTTAGGAAGAGTTATTGGAATCAATAATTTAGGATACACTTGTTTTTTGAATTCTCTTCTACAAGCTTTGGCTGCATGCCCAGTTTTCATTGGATGGTTAAAGAAACAATATGACAAAAATGGAAAAGTTAATTTCATTTCAACTTTATTATCAGTTTTTGAAAGTATGTTGTTATTTTTGGCAAAGCATTTTTTGTTTTATTAATTATTTCTAAAAGGATGATTGATATTTTATTAATAAGTTAGTAAGAATTTAATCTTTTTAATTAGATTTATATATTTATTAATTTTGAATTATATATTGTTACGTACACATATATATGTATATGGAATATGCATTCTTTTCTGGTTAGAAATTAATGGATATGCAGAAGATTTATATAGTGACGTAACACCAATTGAAATTATTTCGTCACTTGGTAATCAATGGAAATTTGCACCTGGTCATCAGGATGTACACGAACTATTTCATGTAGTTCTTAGTGCATTACAAACAGAAATTCAACCTGGAAGTAGGGTATGCCTTTAAAAATTATTAAATTATTACAAATTGTTACAAATATTTATTAAATGTATATATATATTTTTTTAAATACTTTCAAATTTATATGATATATTTTTAAATTGTTAAAGTAAAAAAAATAGATAACAAGTTAAATATATCCGCAACAAATTATTTCAGAAAGGTTGTTTGTCTGATGCTTTACCACAAAGTCCAATAATGATAACAGATACAAAGAAATTGGGTGATCCTTTAACATTTAGAAGTGTATCTTGTAATGATATTGTATCAGCCAACAAAAATCTTAACATTCCGAATGGTTTTGATAAAAATTGCAATAATCATGTAATATCTTCGACAACATCCATATCAAGCATTTCTATCGCACATAATAAGCCAGGTATAATTCTTGCAAGATCTTCAGAATTACTTTCAAAGAATGTTGAAATTGAGAAAAATAAAGAATCTTTTAAACCATGGAACTCCTTATGTACTATATCATTTTCTACTGCTCCACCAATATCAATAGAAGTACATCCATTTTCTGGCTTATTAACTAGTCAATTACAGTGCAGTTGCTGTAAATGGAAGGTTGGTTTTTTACTTTAATTAGAATTTTACTTTATTTAAATACAACATATATAATTATACGAAATAAATAAAAATATTTTTTGTAGTCTGCAGTTCATTATGATAAACTTGAAACAGTTTCTTTGCCTTTACCTCCTTTGGGTCCACATATTAGATCACATCACACATTGGAAGAATTGTTAACACGTTTTGTAACCAGTGAGGTTGTTCAAGACGTATTATGTGATGGATGTGGAATGCGTTGTTTAGCTACTAAAACTTTAACTCTAGGAAAACTTCCCAAATGTTTGTGTTTACATATATCAAGAACCACATGGAGTTCTTCAGGAATACCAATTAAGAGAGATGATCCAGTAAAATTTCCTGAGATACTGACTTTAGATCCTTATACTTTTACGGAAACAAAGAAGCGAAACGCACGGGTATGATATGTAAATAAAATATGTATCTATTTTTTTATGATCATAAATTTAATATGATATATGGATTGATAGGGAGATCCTGAAGCAACAATGTTACTTAGTAATCGATCGACGTTACAAGATAAACACAAATATCAATTACGTGCAATCGTAGAACATCGCGGACCTGTAGATTCTGGTCACTTTGTTTGTTATAGACGAGGAAATAAAAATAATCAATGGTTGTATACTTCTGATAATGTAGTTGAGAGTATACCTTTGATTGAAGTTTTATGTGCCACACCATATCTTCTCTTCTACGAGCGTATTAATAGCATATAAGACTAGTTAGTAATCAATTTTAGTAATCACAGCAAATTTAGGAATGATGATTCATTGTCAGTATACTGAAACAATGTAATAATTACGGTGAAATTTAAGAGACTGAATGTGTTTAATAGTAGTTTTCATGTTTCCATTGCAAAACAGTTGAAATTATTTCAAACTTATTCGTTAAATAAACTGAACAAATATTTAAATTTATTTTATTTACTTACATTTCATGTTTTGTGTATTAATTTTTATTATACATCATTTTTATACAAGTACAAAATATTTTCTAGCTTATAACTTTGACATTATGGTTACATCAGAATTTAGTAAAATAATACAAAATTTTTAACATATTTTAAAAAATTATTTTAAAATTATAGAAAGTAGTTTACACTTAAGGCTAGCAATACTGTAGAATATTATGTATGTAGAATATTATAGCTTATAGAGAATTAAATTGATTGCTTGATAAATTGTACTGTAATGCTGTAAAACTAAAATCATATTGTGCCAAATGAATCAATCGTTTTTATATGTGACAAACTATTATTTTATATACCTAAAATTTAGAACTTTAATTCCAGATATGTATTTTACATGAAATTACATTTTTGTGCAATTAAAAAATGATAGGTTGAGATTTCTTATAATTTGAATATGATAATTTTTATGTCTTCTGTATTGTTTGAGTCCTAATAAAAGTACAATTATGTTTTTATAAAAATATAAAACAATTGTGATTACAAAAACTTTGAAGTATTATTTAAATTAAAATTAATGATACATTTACTTCAAGATATAAACTTTTGTTATAAATTGTAAAATGAAATGATAAAAAATATTAAATTTTAAATGGTCACATTAAAATAATAACGAATATGTTTCAAATTAATTATACTCTTATTATAAAAATTTAAAAACATATTTTATTGATGTATAAATAAAATAATTATTTATTTAATGCAATGTTTAAAAAAATTGGAGCTAATTTTAAAATTACTAAAATATTAGATCAGGTATGTTATGTGATGAACTATTCGAAACTATTTCATTTTATGCTGAATAAAATTTATCTTCTATTTTTTTTAAAACTACTTAGAAAGAAAAATTTTAAAAATGTAATATGTAAGTATGTAATCTCTGGTTTATTACAATATAAAATAGTAAAGGTAATCGGTCTGTTATGGCTCAACAGAAAAGCAAGTAGACAGGAAAGAAAAGAGGGAGCAGCATGCGGTTTGTTAATCTATCAGCTTTAACGTGTAGTACATTGATATGACTGAAAAGTGTTTTGATTAACGTACGAAAAATGATGTTGATATAAATTTTTGTTGTAATGTTTTTCTAATTTATAACACTGGGTGTATGTATATATGTGTGTGTGTATGCGCGTGATGTGGTATGAACGTGTGTACACACATATGTATATAAAATAAATTTGACCGACTATAAATTTGTAGGTTATATTTGCACCTGTAAACTTTTGTAAATATCTGATCTTTCGAAATTTGTTACGTCAGACTTTATTTTCTATAACATAAATGCAAAGATGCCCCATTTCGTAAGCACTAAAGACGAAATTGTGAGTATAGTTATTGTTTTTCGATAATATTAAAAGCTTTTAAAATATTGTTTTGATTTTTTGACAGATACAAAATATGGATGATATTGCTTCTGATTTTGCTTGTCTTAAAGTGTCTGCTCTAAAAAAAGCCTCTCGTATATCAGGTGAAGTGAATAGAATAACAATTGGTCCTGATTCTATAATGAACGAAAGCAAAACTGAAAAATCGGAAAATATAGAAAATGAACGGAATTCTTGTAATATTACAGTTCCACAGAAACCTATTCGCTCACAGAATAAGATTTCTATACAAAGTGGTATTACTTTTTCAGTTAAAAAGATTCTTTTGGAAAGCGAATATCAAAGAAAAGAAGAAGTTCAGGTAAATACAGTATATTGCAACATATAGCTTAATTAATGAAATTTTAAAAAATCAATATTTGGTAATTAAACACTGTAAAACTTAAATACTAAATACTGTGAATAATCAACTTTTTTTTTAACTATTCAAAAAGCATAAAAAACCAATTGCTAAAAGTATGATGTTGTAGGAACAGAAAATATATATATTAATAGAATAATAATTAATAAGAATTGAAAAGTTTTCTTAGGCAAATATAAGTAATTTTAAAGTAGAAATACACATCATTTTGTATAAAATATATAAAATCACAAGAAATGTTAGTTTTATATCTTTTTCTTTTTTTTT